ATTTAAAGTGCTGCGAAACAAAGCACTTGTGCCGGTTCCGTTCATTTTTTGTCACCATGTTAACCGCTTCCACGCAATCGGTAGAGAAATTTATACCAGGATTAGACTACTATACTAGTAGTACTGCACGTTTTGAGAGATTTGGCTTCGATTTTAGTACGTTTTAATTTTGGATTTTCGGACTTTGCGTCTAGATGACTAGATGGAGGTCTGACCGGCTGGCCGGTCATTCTTTTCGTCGAAGGTTACCGGCGAGATGACAAATCAAACGTCCATCCAGGTCGGACGATGGGGCCGGGATCTAGTCGTCCGCCGCGTGCGATGTGACGCATTCCTTGGTTCAAATGTTTATATTAACCAACCGTTTTATCAATCGAAAATGGTTCCATCATCCACGCGTTGCCGAGTAGGATACCTTCTTATCCAACACGGGTGGAGTTACGTGGAGCCACAAGGAAGATCACGCAGCTCACCGGCGGCCAACGGCCGACGTTGCCGGCTCTGCGGTCTTTGCGAGACGAAAGGTGGCATGGCCTCAGTGGTGACGCGCCATGGCCATGGGAGCGAGTTGCTTCTGCGGCTGGCCGACTGGCCGCCCGGGGATGCATTATGGGGATCTCTCCGGCCAGTTGACGGATGGGCACTGAATGGTTTTGTTAGTATGTTAACTGACCACCATATGGGTCTTTGGTCAGTTGGTGCGTGCTAATGGGCTTTGTTAACTAACGGCCACGTCGGAGCTGCATGCCCACTTGGCCACCATGTACCCCCTGCGCTGTCTGGGCCTGCTTGGAAGGAGAAGCTTACGGATTGGAAACGGGGTGCGGCAGAGAGAGGCGTGTAAGGAAGCGCGATGAGGTTTGTGAGACTCGTCAAGAACTATGATTGCTACTGATACAGTAGACAGTGCATTCTGATGAGAAGACTGCGTGCAGAGAGTAAGTAGCGTGGAAGGCAGTTTCGCTGCCGGCATTGGCCAGACTTTTGGTCTACGACGACTGCTATCGATCGATACAGTAGAGATTATAGTACTACTTATTACTGTCCTGCTGAGAACTGTACTCCCTGATAGTTTAGGGCCCTAGCTAGAGATGTGCTGGACAGAGCAAGATTCACCTGTAAAGTGTAAAGTACTCCATCTGTCCCAAAATACTTGTTTGTAGTTCACGGAGGAACTAGTGCTCTGCTTATTCCCCGGAGCAACACTGATATTCCATGTCGACAGGCTCAGTTCATGCCTTGTCACATTAATCACCCTTCAAAGCACCGCGACTCACGTCTGTTCACATACACGTCCGTCGCGTTATTATCCTTCAACACCCGACACAAAAATCACCATAAGATGGCTTACACTTACGACTGGTTTCTTCTAACTGTCCACGTGACAGTGAATAATTCAGATAAACTCACGTTACACGGTCCCTGTCTCGGTCTCCCTCTCTCCATCTCGTTCTCCCTCATCCGTTTGCGTGCACGCGTTTTTGTGCTGGCAGAGTTCATGCCACGTCTCTGTACGCAAATTTTGGCAAGACATTCCGTTTCGAAAGTAAATAATTTTGGCAAGACATTCTAGAGAAAGAATTTCTACTGGTAATGCAAGAGAGATTGCATGCAGTCCTGCTGAGAAACAGGGTGTAGAGAGTAGTAGCGTGAAAGGAAGTTCCACCGAAAGCATTGGGCAGACTTTTCGTCTGTGACTTGTAAGGATAGATTAGATTAGGGATTACACATAGTCCTGGTGAAGAATTGTACTCCATGCTGGCTGCTATTGTATTCGTTAGCTGTGCAAGCAACAGAGTTTAGGCCCCTAGAGACGTGCTTGGAAGAGTTAGATTGACCAGAGCAGAACCGGCAGCCTACCGTCCACGGGCACGTTCATGTCTTGTCCCTTTTATAACTCTTGATTGATGAAAACACGTGGCTCAGAGCATCTACAGCCGGATGCCACGAATCATCTCTCATACATCCAAGGACGAATCCAATTAATGGCCGGACAGAAGAGTGAAGGAAAAACGTGACCCAACCGGACCCCCATATCATCCCTATACGCCCGAGCTGTCCCCGAACCCTCATATCCATCTCAAATATAGGGAGGATATAATGTCCGTGGACGCGCCCGGGGCAGTCCGCCATGTAGGACACGGCCCCATCCCGGATCATCTTTTCCCTTTCTTTATTCATTCTTTTATTTCTATCTCTTCATCTCCATCAATCATGTGCAAGTGATTGTACATATGAGGAGTGTGGCTCCGTGACAAATAGGGACCCAAAACGGATCGGACGCGTCTGTGGGCGTTTAAGATGTCATATTTGCTATGTCCGGCTGTAGATGCTCTCAGTCTGGAAAGAAGAGTGTTTTTCATATCACACCATTTTGGACACATAATTTGGTACGAGTATTAAAACGTTTTCAGAGGGAAAATGTGGGTCGCACCGCGTGCTACGGTCCGGACCGTTTCCAGAAAAGACCAGCCTACACGGCCCAGCATTTGAGAGGAACCCTCGTGAAGCCCCATCCCGCCATCCGTGTCGTCAGTGTGAACCGCGAAGACGTACGTGCACGGAAGGGAACAAAATAGCTTGGACCATTCGGACGTGGTTCGCATGTCTGCTTCTTCGAGCTCGCACCGTCGTCGGACTCGTGGATCAGCCTTCTCCTCCGGTCGATCGCCGCGTGTTTATCGTTTTGTCGGCCGCTTGCCGCCATTGTTTGGCATCGACGGGCAATTTGGTACGCAGATTATCTAGCTCGGATACACGTGGAAAGACGGAGAACACGTCGTGCCGGCAAGGCACGGAATGATCTATGGCAGGAACAGAGCATGGCCCTATCGCCGTAAGTGGATCGCCTGAAGATGACTCCCTCGCCGGCACCGCCAAAGAGGAAAACGTCGACCGGAAACTTCCGGACTCCATTTCACTTGAGGACACCTGTACGAGAGCGTGTACTCGTATCGTATCGGTTCCTTTTGTGCCCTAGTGGTTGATTGGATTTGGAGGTAGATGAAAGTGGTACGGTAACAGTATTTGTTAGGTCGGCGAGCTGGCGCGTCAACATAAGAGGTTTAGGTCCCTAGGGGCTAGAGATGTGCTTGGCAGAGCATGGTCGACCTTGCATGCAATGCTTGCTAGTAGTACTCGGCGGAGCAAATCTGATGTTCTACTGTCCAGTGTCGACAGGCTCGTTGATGGAGTACTGTCTAATGTCGACACGCTCGTTCTTGAAAAGTTTCCTTCATTTTTGGGTACATACAGATCCTAAAAGCTCGAAAGGGGAATGTTTCTGCCTAACAGCTGAAATCTTCAGATTGTTGG